CAGGGTGGCGTTCGTGGAACTACAGCGTGCCTGTTGCCATGCCTGTCAGGTATGCTTCGGTCATGTTCTTTGTGCATGGCAGTGTTCTTCTTCGGAAGGTCGTTTCTTCGGACGATACGTTTCCCCGTCAGCTCAGAGTTCATCGCGTTTGCCCAACGGTTGGGTGGGTGGCGAGAGCCATGCCATTGGTGTTGACGTTGCCCGCGATTTTGGAAAAATTGGTGCTCAGCCATCATTCAGGGAGAAGATTACCTGCCATCACGGGAGTTCCGTTTCAACAGTATTTTCTGTTCTGCAGATGAGCGATTGCTTGATTAATTCTCAGCGCCGCTGCCAAATATGTCCTCATGACCTTCGGTGGGTTGACGTGTGGCACAGCGTGTTTGTAAACTGGGTACGGAAGAACGCTGTTTCGGTATGAGTTTCGCCGTTTGTTTATGGAGCTCTCATCGATGCGCATTTACATATTCGACCGTGACTACTGCTGTAGACTTGATACTGCTGCCACCGGTGTGCGTATTGTTTCAACATTCATGACGGCTGATCCAGGGACTGGTCGATGACGGCGCTGTGCAGCGGGCTGAGCTGCTGCTGGCTGGTGATGACCCTCTGCCGGCGTTTGCGGCTGTTCGCCGGAGCTGTGTCCAACCACGAGGAGGAGAGGAGGAGGTGGCAGACTGAGGCCGATATTGCCACCGCCGCCGCCGTCGCCGCGTCCGGGGAGAAGATGGAAAAGAAGATGCAGCTGGTCTTCCAGAGCCAGCTCGAGGAGGAGAGGGCGAGGTGGCAGACTGAGGCCGAGATCGCCACCGCCGCCGCCATCGCCGCGTCCGAGGAGAAGATGAAGCTCGTCTTCCACAGCCAGCTCGAACTGGGGCAAGCCAAGCTGGCTGACGAGATGGCAACAGTGCAGCAGGAGATCCAGGGCATCCAGGAGGGCCTCACGGGCAAGCTCAACGACCTCAAGAACAACGCGGACGCCCTCGGAGCTGGCCTCTTGAATGTCCAGAGCAAGAAATTGCCTGACCGCCAGTTGACGAAAGTCCTGCACAAGATGAACGAGAGGGCGGAGGAGTCCGCCAGGGTGTGGGGCAAAGAGTCCGAGCTAGACTCACACTTCGCCCATTGGAAGGTCGGCAAGAATCTACCCAAGGCAGGCGGGGGTGGCGACGACGACGGGCGCGAGGAGGAGGCGGGCGGAAACCTCTCGGGGCCGTCCCAGCAGGAGGGGGAGCAGAAGGAGGAGGCGGGCGGCCAACCCTCAGGGCCGCCGCAAGAGGAGGAGGGGGGGGGGAAGGGCAGGAAGAACAGGAGGAAAAAACGCGGGGGCAAGGCAAAGAAGGAGAAGAAGCCGGTGGGAGAGGGAGAGGGAGATGACAGCAGTGACGGGATGTCCGGGGGAGGGGAGGGGGGACAGGGCTTCTCCGCCGGCACCTAGAGTGGCAGTGGGTTGTTGTTGTTTTTTTTGTTCTTGGCAGTAATATTGCTGTCGAAGGCGTTGAGCGAGGTGTCGGTTCATCCGACCCTTTGCCCGCCTGAGGTGATGCGGTTTACTGTCAAGCCGTGGAAGCGAAACAGTTGTACAGCTATGGCATGGGTCCACTAGTGGGTTTGCTTTCGACGGATGTGGCACGGATTCCTATGTACTTCGTACTTTAGTGGTCCTTGTTGCCTATCCCCGATGGTGTATTCCCATGAACGGCAAAAACTCGAGCCCATGTACAACTAGATTGTTTCCACGATCGACGACCTTTCGTGTTAGCCCGGATTGCGTGCTATTTATGCCGGCCAATCGGGCAAATGTGTATTTTTTTTCATGCCTCGTTTCTCGCTGAAATTGGTTGCGGCGAGAGGAGCATTGCAGTTCCGGCTTGCGTCTGTTCTTGAGTCGATCTCAAGAATTGTGGGGAGGCGTGCCTGCGGGCTCCTTCTTGTGTGCCTGGTTGATGCTGCATTTCGTGCCAAACCGCAGGGGTCACGTGGCGTTGGCTTGCTTTTTGCTTGCACGCATGGGTTGTAGATGAGGTACCTCGGTGTTGTGCTGCCAGAATTTTGTGGTAGTTTTCTTTTGCTTCGGCCCTTGGTCGGTAATTTTCTTTTGCTTCGGCCCTTGGTCGGCAGTGTGTGTGTGTGTGTCTTTGTTTTGAGCATCGACCCCGCTAACCGGCTGACCAAGGAAAAGACATCAGTATCAGTGTGGATGAAAACACAAAACACTTGTGTGTGAGTGTTTCCATCCTATTTTTTTTGGCGACAGTCCGCCCATTTTTCGCGGTGAGACGTGTACTACACTTTTCAGTGTATGCAGAGTACTACACTTTTCATTTTTTTTTCGTACAACTACAACCATCCAGGGTCGCACAGGAGGGGGAAACAAAGGGCCTTTTCTCTTATTTTTCTTGTTCTTTTCGTGCCCGACGTTCCTCCTGTGGTGCGTGCTGAATCATTGTTTTTTTATCGCGAGAAGGGTCCAGCCGTCCCGTTCCCTCGTCGACGATGCTAACGTCAAAGTTTGGTACTCACGAGAGCTTTTCTGCTTTTTTTTTTCGCTTCACCCGCAAAGTTGTCAAATTTTCACCCCATGGGGCAGTGTGAGAAGGAAATGTAATCTGAGTTTGTCGCATGAAACATTCAAGGAAGCACGAATGATGCATGCACATACTATTATATAACGAGTAAAGCGAGCGGCCCGAAGATTAAGTGGACCGCCCTCACTGGCCAAGGTTGTGGTGGAACTACTGTAGTGTCTAAAGCCCGTGCTCCCGTGGGCTCGTGCCCTTGCGATACTAAGACGGGGTTACTGCAGCAAGCATCGATTGTCCTCGTGATGTAGAGTACAGTCGTGGGCCCGGTTTAGCGGTCCATAGTGTCACGAATTTTTATAACCGCTATTCAGGGTATCGCCGCTAAACCACTTTAGCGGTCATTATCCGCCAAACCAGGAGGCTTAATAGCGGTCATGAACCGCTAAACCGGGAAAAGGCCCATTTTTGCGCTACAATAACAGCGTGGAGAGCTGATATTGATAGGGCCATGCGTATCATTGCAGCAGTCATACGAAGGTGCAGATGAAGAAGTAACGAGCCAATGAAGGACAACGCCGCAAGCACATTAATTAATGATGCAGTTTAATTCGCCAAAGCACGAAGATTATTCTCCCTTCTGGACTGTATGCCCCTCATCAAGACTGGAAAATCGTTCGCGTCTCTCACGAAGTGAAGTAGGTGATGAGACAAACTTGTGACAACGCAATGGCAATCAACCACGTGCTTGAGCATCTCATTTCTGCCATGTGTCGCGTATCGATCATTCTTCACCCAAAGCAATCTCTCTGGTATCTGCCATGCGCGCTGGAGGAGCGGCGTGCGCTGCGAGGAACGCCATTTTTGCCTTGCGAAATAGTGTGCTGCTTCGCTTACGCCACACGACTCCGCGCTCTCCACGCTGGCGACAATCCGATGATACCTCCGAGTGTGGTGGCGGCGACATCACCCCCCTGCCCTTCGCTGCGTCAAATTGTGCGGTGGTATCTAGCCCTAGCTCTGGGTCGTCGTCGTCGGAGGGGTTAGGCCCCCCTCCATGTACATATCGGACAACTTTCAACAACCTCGTCATTCGCGCCCTTTTACGCAAAGCTTCGGCGATCTCTTCCTGTGCGCACTATTTCTGCGCGCGCTACCTTCTGGTCAAGAAGCTTCAAAACCTCTAAATTCTAGCCAAAGTAGAGCCACGTGTCGGGCTGTTGTCGTGTACCTGCAGCGCGAGTTGTTTCTTTCCGCGCGCCTGGTGCTAAATAGAAAGCCACCTTACACCTCTTGGCGCTTGGGCGGATTTGCGAAGTGAGGGGAACTCTGCGCCTTCTTGGATGTACGCCGGTTGCATCTCGTTCTCACCCGGAACCTCCACCTCCCCACACACATGCCGTGTATTCGGCCACCACAGCAACCTTTACAATCATGCGCGCCGCTTGGACTCGTGCCGCATCTAGTCTATCTATTCAGAAGCTTGCACAGTTCTCCATCCACGCGCCGCATGGTGTGTGTCTTTATTATTAGCATCGATCGCGCTAACCGGCTGACCTATATGTCATTGACTGGGACCTCGTGAGGGGGCGGCATGGGGCAGGTAAAAGCTATTCCCCGGAGTAGGACAGACACGGTAGGTAGCAACAGAGGAATACATGCCACCTTGCACTCGAGTTCGTGTTGGAGTGTTTTCACGATCATCCTCCTTGCTTTCACCACCATCACTCTCATCGTCGTTTCTTCAGCTACTTTTCGGCGATTCTTCTCTGACCCTGCGTCGTGTGGTGTATGTATGTGTGTCTCGCTGTATCCTTTTTTTATGAGCATCGACCAGCTAACAGGCTGACCAAGTCGCTGTGCTGTGAGTATGTGCAAGCGAAGCGCGCACTATATATTCAGGTCCTCGCAAAAATTGACCCGATAACCGCTATTGGTGGCTGCAAACATGTCCAATAACCGTTATTGAGGGCTAAACCGGGATGCAGCCGTGTCACGAGATTTTATAATCGCTATTCAGGGCATCCCGCTAAACAGGGAACCGCTAAACCGGGGTCACGACTGTATGTAGCAGACTCAATTTGTAAAGCAATAGTCTGGTCTACCTGTCGGTGGTGCACGCGACCATACAAGTATGTAGCAGACTCAATCTCTCGCCATTTCGAATCGATTTCCCCCCCCTTCCGTGCCACATGGGCGCTCGGTCTCGTCTACAGGGGTTGACTATGGGCTGTGGGCTGTGGGCTGTGGGCTGTGGGCTGTGGGCTGTGGGCTGTGGGCTGTCAAGCTGTGTGTGGGCTGGCTTTGTCGGCCCGCTGAAGAACCATAATTCGGAGATGGAAACCCGGGGGATGCTACGTTGATGTCCCCGGGTCTCGGAAGGTTTTGAGGCATGTCCCCAAGAGGTGGAACTTGGAAGCCGCGCCACAAGTGGGGAGCTCGAGCGGACATCGCAGCACTTCAGCGGCTGCTGCCGAGATGCGGGCGCACGATGTACTCGACGCCCTGGAACGAGTAACGCTGTTCCGGGCTCAGGCGGCGGACTCGAATCGACGCTTGGAGGACATCGGAAGTGATCTGGACAGCGCAATATCTCTGCTGGACCTCCAACAGCAGTGTCGCGAAGCGGAGCATCCGGACGGTAAAGCAAGAGTCGATGCAGCAGCAGTGGTTGTCGCCGTTGGCTGGATGGTGTTTCTTGTGGCAGCTGTTTATTGCACGTGTGATGCGCAGTACAGGGAAAAAGAGAGAGGGATGCTCAAGAGGGAGTCCCGAAAACAAAGTGGTGTGCGTGTCCAAATTTTGGTTGGCCTGAGAGCTTGTTTGCTCACATCCGCGGGATCATGTGTCTTGTGGTTCAAAAGTTCAAATCGGCTGCCGTAGCGCCTGTACGACACGACAGCAACCTACCTTCATTGCGCAGGACAGGTCGCTTCACCAACATAAAGTGTGTAGTGTGGTGGAGATAAAATCGTAGAGATCGGATAGCAATCACATGTTGCCCTCCCTCCGTACTCTGTGGATTTCGAACACGGCCTTGTTTGTGCCAGTCTGCGCCTAGTGTCACGTGTTGTGCGGTACATGTGCATGCATTCACATTTGTACGTGAAGTGTCGCACTACTGCTGTACCTACAAGCTGAACGACAACAATTCAGGATGTTATTCGCATGGCTTCTCCGTCGTGTCGTAAACGTCCTCTACTCCACAGCAGCATTTCCTGCCGCGTGACAATTGTAATTTGTGACTTGCTGTGAACGGGTTGGTGTTCCCGCAGAGAAGGGGAAGGGCTCCAAAAACAAGAAGCTGACGACAGACAGTCACAATGTAGCGGTGACTAACGGCGCGTGTCATAGCCGTGAGCACGCACAACAAAAGTAGGAAGAGACTTGCTAGACCCTTTCTTCGCGTCACGATTTTTAGGCAAGCACAGCCGCAGGAGGAAAAACGTGCTCTCGCTCTTGCTGGCGTGACCCAGGATTGCGCGATATAGCGTGGTGCACCGATACCAACCGACACTTACTTTGATATGCACCACACCCATCGACCCCCTCCCCCCATGACACAGGCGCAGTAACAGGCGTGACCCAGGGCGTTCACCGCGCCGTCCTTGACTGGTCCACCGGGGTGATCGTCAAGCTCGCGGCAGCCTTGCCCAAGCACGCGACAATTGCGGCAAGCCCCAACGTCAGCACCACCACCACCAGTGAGCGCCACGCTCGAAACGCACGGGGCTGGCTCTCGGATCCGCGCATCTGGCGGTGCTTCGTGCGCTCGCTCAGGGGGGGCGCCACCCAGGCGGCCGAACCCAGCACGCACCTACCGCAGGCTGCGAGCCTGGGGGTGCTCCGGGCTGCGATTTTCGCCGTCCGTGCCGGAGCACCAGGAGCGGCGGCCGCGGCGGGAGCGGCGGCAAGGGCGTGGGAGAGCTGCTCTGCACCACCGCAGGCGGCAGGGGCAGGGGACTGGGCGTTCGTCGCCGTCCTGACGCTCTGCGGCGGGGTCATCGTTACCGCGGGAGGAGGAGGAGGAGGAAGAGCGGGCGGCCACAGCAGCGGATCGATGACGAGCATCGACGCCGCCGTCCTGGACGAGCTCCGGCCACGGCGCGCCGACGGAAGGCTGCTGGCGGTGGCGGGCCCGGCGCCGGCGACGGTCGCCTCAAAGAGGTGGGGAGGGGGAGGTGCCGTGATGAAGATGTCCCTAGACGCGTTCGTGACCTTCTTGGACGAGGTCCTTCGCGGACACGAGGCCGTTTGCCAGGCGCTACTCCTCGCCGGCGACGGGGCAGGATCGGGAGGGCGGAGCAGCGTCGGGGGCAAGGAGGCGGCGGCGGTTGCGACGGCCGGTGGCGGAGCGCTGCCGTCCCTGGCGGAAGGAGCGCTGACGGAGCTGCTCCGCTTCCAGGTGGTGCTGCAGGCCCAGCAGACATCCCCCCGCAAGGTAAATATTTGCGTCGTCCTCCCGTGCATACGTGCCACCGGTTCTTGTGTCTGTGTCCGACTTTCTGGCGGTTGCCGCCGTACTGAATATTTTGTTTCTCTCATGGTTGATTCCTCGGTGTCGCACTGATCGCGGTCGATCAACGGCCAAGGACACCTTCCGTCTCGCGGTAGCTAGACCAGCACGGGCTGTCGTGGATGCCACAGACAAAGGGTTTGGCATCCGTGACGATACGCGAGACACCCCCCGTGTAACCTACCGGCTTCCAAACCTGGCGGGCCGGCGGGTCAGTTTGGACTCGCTCCCTGGAAACACTGCCGCTGAGTCTCACGCACCGTCGTTGTCTGCATGTTTTTTTGGCCTAGTTTTTTTTGTTCGTCGTCGGCTACACTGTTTTTTTTTTTTGCCTGTGCCTTTTCCGCCGAACCAGGTCTTCACCACCTTTTGCTCGAAGCTGATGGGGTCGCTGTTCCAGGCCCTCCCGCCCGAGGGTTCGACGGCGTCGGCCTCTTCGCCGCTCAAGACCGCCGCCAAGGCCGTCGCGTGCGACGCCCTGTTCCACGAGGAACACCTCGAGGGCTACCGCGAAGCCTTCACGGCGGCCGAAGCGGCGGCGGCGGCGGCGGCAGTTGCCAGGACGGGGAGTTCGCCGCAAGGGGAGGGAGTTGCGCCTACCGCTGGCGGTGGCGGTGGGAAGAATAATGGTGAACCGGATCAGTCTGGTGAGAGTGGCGGCGGCGGCAAGAAGAGGCGCCGGAAGAACACCGGTCGCGAAGACGGCGGCGGAGACGACGGCGGCAAGTTTAAGAAACCTCGGATCCGTGTGTGCTACCAGCAGCAGCTCTTGGACGAGATGGCCGCGCTAGCGGCTGGCTCGCGGGGAGACGGGGAGGGGGAGGGGCGTTCTCGCCTAGGGGCAGTGGCCGGGGCCCCGATTTTGCTGGAAGGGTTTATTCTCCGCCTAGGCAAGGTGCAGCGTGGAGCGGTTGATATCCACGAGGCGTCGGGTGCGGCGGCGGCCGCAGTGGCTATGGGCGGAAAGCGCTCGCGTTCATCCGGTGGCAGCGGCGGTGGCGGGGGCGGCAGCGGCAGCGGCTCGTCCGCCTCGCCTGCTTCGCAGATGTTCAGGCTGTGGTCGGTGCTAAATTCGACGCTTTTGGGGTACTTGCCGTCTGTCCCGCCTTCATCTACGCCGCCTCCGCCACCGTCCGATGGCACCGTCGTGCTCCCGCGGCTGCTGCTCCTCCCGTTCTTGCGGTCGAGCAACTCCATGCTGAGGTTCCTCGCCGAGCACGACGTCTACCGCATCAACGAGGACTGGGGGGGGCTCGAGTTCGACCAGCTCCGCAGCTTCTCATCCAGCCTTATCCGCCTCGCCGACAGCTGCTACGGGAGGGGGGGGAGCCGCGCCGGCGGCGACAACAGCACCGATGGCGGCGCCCCCGGGAGCACCGCTGCTGCGATGGCTGTCAGCGGGGACGGCGCACGCAGAAGGGAAGACACTCCCGATGCCCCCGCCGCCGCTGCCCGTGTCCTAGTAAAGCCCACGAAGGAGCAAGCAGCGGGGGCGGGGGCAGCAGCCGAGGAGTTCCTCAGGGCTTTCGGCTCGCTGCTGGGCCTTAACCACAGCATCCTGCACGATGACCTGAGACCGGTGCTACGGATGACGTTCGAGTGGGCGGCTACGGCGGAAACAGAAGAATCGGCGGCGGCGGCGGCGGCGGCGGCGCCGGGTACTGTTCGCGGTGGCGACGGAGGCAACGGCGGCCCGCCGGCGGTGCTCCGCGCTCTGGCGGTCGATCTCGTCGCGAGCCTCGTCGGCACGTACGGCCGCCTGCGGCAGATGGACCACCTCGTGCGGGCACTCTTCGGGGCCGTAAGCGACTGCCCGCAGGCGGCGGCCGCCATGCTCAGGATGGACGAGTGCGCGGCGGCTCTGGGACGGTGAGAGACTCGTGCTCTTGTGTAGGGCGACGTAAGCGGTAAACAGTCAGCGAGCGCGGCAGCGGTAGGTGTCTTGAAAGAGTTGTGATCCCGCCTTTTTCAGTTCCGGGGGGAGGCCCGGAGGTGGCCGCTCTCGTATGTTCTTGACCCCCGACAAAAATTACCATCTTTCTGATACAACCTGCACCTTCTTCTCGTTACTCTCTTTCTCTCTTTTTCTCGACCTCGTTCTGTCTCTCTCCCCCCCCCTCTCTCTTCCTTTTTCTCACACATTATCTGTCTCTCTCTCGTTCTCTCTACCAGCGCCTTCCGAAGGCTCCCGGAGGGACAGATCGCATCCATGTGGGATGTATTCGCGGCCCACCTCCGGGAGGGCTGGAACCAAGGTGCAGGCGGCGGCGGCGGCGGCGGTCGAAACGACTTGCTAGCCAGGGAGATGGACGCCGAGCTGTTCGTCGTGTTCGTCCGCAACCTCCACGTGACGAGCAGCGTCGCCTCCGCTGTCGGGGCCCTCTGCTTGAGGCTGGCTGAAGAGGTGAGATATGCTACATACGAATTCGGGGGGGGGGGTCGGCCGGGGGTCAGTTCTTCTTTGCCCCTATTTCCCTGCAGTCTATACATACATGCAAGCCTTGCCTCCGTTGTGGGCTCATCAGAGCATAGTAGTAGTCGTGATGCAAGACGGAAGTAAAGCAGGTGCTGTTGTGAGTATGCTGCCAGCTGCCTTCATTGGCATTTCCCAAGCTCGAACAGCTCACCAAGCTGACGTGTTTTTGACCCGAAGAGCCCAGCGAACCTCACGAACCAAAAAGAAGGATTTACAAATCTGTGTACAGGCTTACTTTGACATGTTGCTGCATGGCCGCAAAAGCAGGTCTGCCCGACACCTCAGATTGCCATGTTTTGCGAACGCTTTTGTGAAGTATCGCGGGGCGTAGCCCCCTGGCGGGGGGGGAGGAGTCACGGAGGATTGGCGGGAGGGAGGGGACAATAAGCTAGATGATTCACCACGTTGGCTGCCGACATCCGCTATAGTGTGTCCCTTGGTGCTTTCCGATTCTGCGGTTGACGACATTACCTTCGCGTGCCCCGTTCTATCAGCAGCTAGTGGTGGTCCCCGAGAGTGTATCGGCCGATTGGGTTCATGATCTCCAGCCGGCAAAATGTTGCGTGGTGATCTTCTGCTTGCGTATTTTTCTTGCGCGAGGTGGTTCTTCTCGGCAAGCTCACGCGATAGGCACATGGGGGCGTTTTTGCCAGGGTCAAAACGATTGCCTCCCCCCTCTCCCCGCTACCTCGCTTTTTGGTTTTTCTTTGTTCCTGGCCAAACGTGTCAGAGCCTTCGAAGCTTCGGGGTGCCGCTGCGACAGGCCGCCGCGGCCGCGGCCGCGGCCGCCGCCGCCTCGTCCCCGCCGGCCTCCAAGAAGAAGAAGAAGAAGAAGCGAAAGGGAGGAGAGCGGGCGGAATCAGAACAGCACGGAGCCATTGGGGATGGAAGCGGCAGCGGCGGCAGTAGCGGCGGCGTTCCAATGTCGCAGATGATGCTGTCCTTCCGGCCCGCCCTCGACGTGCACGGCTGGTTGTTGGACCTCGACACGAGGTGCCGCTTCTGGTCTGCCGTTCTCGACTCCTCGTTGCCGGCAACGGCGGCGGCGGCGGGGGCGGCGGGGGCGGGGGCGGCCATACCACAAGACGACGGCGATACTCTGGTCGAGGAAGGAGGCGACAGGGACGAAACAACCGGAGCCACGACGACCCCGGCCCCTTGTGCATCTCTGCTCGTGCCCCCCGATGGGGATGGAGCAGACGTCTCGCTGCCGCGCATCATCGCCGCCGCCACCGCTGCCCTCGAGACAAGCAACAGCAGCGGTAGCAGCAGCCTGGAGGCGGGCATGGGTGCACATGACGAGGAGGTCGGCGTGAGGTCGAGGCTCGAGAAGACGCTACAGCAGGTGGCCGTGCACAGGGTCCAGCAGATCTACGCCCGCCTTAACGGCGTCGCGGCGCTCGAGTCGTCCGGGACGACGGCGGCGGCGGCAGAACGGCGGCCTGCGGCTCCCTCCTCGGGAGCGGAAGGGGTGGATGACGACGAGGAAGGGGAGTTGGAAGAAGCGGCACCAGGAGGAGCAGCGCGGGAAGAAGGAGGCGATGGAAAGCTCGAGGAGGAGGAGGAGGCGAGGGGCCTCGTGGCGTATGCTTGCGGCGCGTGCCGCGGCAGCGGCGGCGATGGGCGCGGCCCGGTTGCGTGGGGGGACGAGGACGGCGGCGGCCGCGGCGGGGGAGCGAGCTGGAGCATGATGATGCCGTATCTACCCGTTTGGATCGGCTTCGCGGAGGAGGAACAGGTGGGCGGGCAACCTTTTGGTACCATTGACACTGAATAGTAACAGCAACGGTTCCCGCCCCCCCTACCGCTCTCGTTGTACCCCTACCATTTAGCACCTGGTTTGTCTCTCTCCCTTCCCCCCACCCACACTTGCCTTCGTGGTGCCGATGCAGCAACGCTCGCAGATGAGATGCCTTTACCGATTCAAACACGCGATCGCTTCTGTGCGCTGGGTTTGGTTTGGTTTGGTTTGGGTTTTCAGGTGGCGCTCTTTCTGGAGGCGCTGCTGTCGAGATGCGCGGCCGATATCCTCGCCGGTCGGGGGGAGGAAGAGAGTCCGCCCTTGAGGCTCCTCTCAGACGCATCGTTTTACGAGATGGAAGCCGTGGCGAAATCCGGTACGTTGTGCTTGTACTTGTACATATGGCCGGTGCCAGCATTTTTCCGGGTACCGTTCAGCCTGTGACGGCCTGGCTGCCTGCACAGCAGTGTTCCAGGGTCTGTTGGTAGTTGTGTCTTTCTCGATAGCGTGCGCCACGCCGTGCGGTGTCCAGGTATTCGGCATGCCGATGGGCGCTTGCCTGTCTCTCGCCCGTTTTCCTGTTTTCTGCTGCTGCTCTCTCGGAACGGCATTTTTGTTTTGTTGTGTTGTCACACATCGCCGTTTTTCAGTCGTCGCCGTTGGTTCGTGCCACCGAGCCAGCTTCCGTCCGTTACACCAGGCACGAGGACCTGACACCTTTTTTCCCATTATCCGTACGCGACATCTGTTCTATGTAGCCCCGGTTTTCCAACAATGCACCTCGAACTCTTTCGGTTACAACAAACGTCAGTTTTGCCGTCTCCGACAACAAACTTCGCTTTGTTTTTTCTTTGCACTGCTGTGTTGTATTGTGTATCATGCACAGCCCCGGCGGTAATCCTCACGAGGGTGTTCCACGCTGTCAGGTGCGCTGTTGGCGGCGGGCGGGGCACCGGGGACAAGAAGGAAGACGGGGCAGCGAGATTGCCGCCCGGGTTTCCCGCGGTTGACACGATCGTGGCGGCCGTCCAGGCTCTCGCTGCCGCCGCTGCCACTCCCGCCAACGAGAAGGGGAAGGGCGGCGGCGGTGCCGCAGAGGGGAGCAGCAGTGACAGCCCAGCCGAGGTGACGGGCGGCGGGGAGGCGGAGAGGAAGGGACTAGATGAGCGGCGGCAGCAGGAAGAAGAGTTGCGCGAGGCGTGCTGCCTCTTGATGATGACCGAGCGGTTCCCGGCGGGTTTCCTAGACGAGGAGGCCCTCGCGGCGATGCTGGTGGCCTCTGATGCCCTCGACGCCGTTCTTGCTCGATGCCTTTTGTCTCGGAGCGGTAGCGGCGGCGGCATCGCCGGAGGAGGAAAAGGCAAGAAACCGGAGGACGGTGATGCAGCAGAAATCTTGTTGGACGACGACGTGCCGCCCTTTCGGGGGGGGCTTGGTAGTCTCGCTTCGCCCGCCGGCGCCGGTCCTCGGGAAGAAAGCCTCGTCGAAGCCGTGGCGGCGCTGAGGGGGCTGTCCCTTAGGCTCGGGCGCTCGCTACCGCCGGAGTCCCCGCTTCTCGAAGGGCTCCCGCAGGGAGACGCCCTCCTGCGCGCGATCGGACCGGCGGCGGGCGGAGAGCGCGGCGGCGAGTCGTCGCGGGCTCATCTGCTTCGAGCCTCGGCGTGCTTGTTGCCGTTCCTCGCCGAGCGGTGCGTGCTGAGGGGGGACACCAAGACGGCGCTGAAGGCGATCGTCGGGCTGGGCCTGATCAAGCCGCGCCCGGCCAGCGAGGGCGGCGAGGCTGAGAAACGGCGGCGGAAGCGCGGACACCACCCGCGTCAAGATGCGCCTCCGGGACG